TAGCGTCGCCTCTAAACACGCATGCGCGACACAGTATCACAACAACAATGGCGCCGTACTGTGTTGAATGGTTGCTGCTCATGCTACTCACCCTGCTGTCGGGCTTACAACAGAATCTTCTTCTTCTGGAATATTCCAGGAAGAACAGAGCAATATCGACGACATAGTTCAGCACCTGAATTTGACTGAACCACGAAAATGGACCCGCAGGGCAACCAAGTATAAATATTAGTGCGCATGCCCAACATTTCGTCGCACCACAGCGCCACTTACAGGCCTGGCATACATTTTGCAGCGCTTTCATGCATTCGTGTGGACGATCACATTTATTTTACGTCTCCGTCTTTACGACAAACGTTCTGGAAAATATTAGCGTTTCGTGTTCGTTTTGACTTCATGTGGACGGGGCCTAATATTCTTTAAATTCTCACAGTTTACACATTGCATACTCTACCTGCTGTTTATTTTTAAATGCACAAGACGTACGTGCACACATTAAATACTCATTGTAATCTTATAAAAAACTATTTTTAAAAGTTGTTTTTAAAATATAATTTACTGGTCTTGAAAAAACATATAATGTTCACATTTTGAGGGCAGTAAGGTGTCAAAATTCGTTATCACTAAATATTCAGCATGTTGTTGGTTAAAGCAATACTTCAAAAACATCTTCCAGTTGCCTTCCTTCTCTTGCTGATACCCTGTTTTTCTTTTGAAATTCCCCAGTTGAGCTGTAGAGACAGTAATTTGCAGTTCAATCGCATGAGATAACTGATGCTGTTCCTCACTGCAACCAGATTGCCTAGTCCAGGACTCTTTTCCTTAAGGGCATGTGTAACAGATACATAAGTGGGCAGAAGGTCAAATGGGAAAAGACTAAATCAATATTTGAGAATACAAACAGAGGCGCTTTTTCTGGGCATTTAAATAGATATGTTTTTAAATATTGCTTTACTCCACCACAGAAATGTGAATTCTGTTTCATCCAGTGATGATCTGCCAAATGATAGTTGGTGTTTCTTGGCTTGGACTTAAATTTTCATATTGGCAGCAATGGATTCTGTTAAGAGAGATGATCAATATGACACTAAGAAATTTAGCTCTTATTTATACTGTAATCTCTGAAGTGACTTTGCAAATTAGATGAGATGCACATAAAATCACTTAAATTTGAAAATTAGATCAAACATAGGGAATAAATTCCATTGTTACCCCCGCCAGGTTGGATTTTCCAAAGTATGTGTCTGAGTCAGCAGCTTTTGGTCTAAATATAAAGTCTAATTAAGCTAAAAGCTTTACTGGCTTCCCTCTATGATTCTTTCCCAATCCCTGCCCCAAACTCCTCTACCTCACCGGAAACTTCTGACTAATGGGACGCAACTTCACTTAAATGCTGGAGCCCAAATAAGATTAATGAGCAGACACATTTTTTGTGGCTGCCACCTATTCACTACCTCTTCTGGCAGAGCTCGCAGACTCTTAGTGAGATTTCTTGTGAGCTCCTGTTTGTAAACAAAAGCTGATTCTGGGCTTTTTTAGATGTTGGGGTTGAAGTAAAGTATTGCTGGCTGCAGCTTTAAAAGCACATACAGTACAGTGCTTAGCAAAACAAAATTCTCATCACTTTAATGTCTGCATAATCTCACAGTATAAACACAGTCTTGTTATGTTTTAATTGAATTTGACGTGATTCACCAATACATAACTAAAAGCTTAAGACAAATATGTTTTATCCTCTGTCATGTTGGGGTCTAATCTTCTAACCCACATGCAGAAACACTCAAGAGACAGGAAAAATAGTTAAAAGGTTTATTGACAAAGTTTTCAGAGAAATGTGAACGGCGTCTTGGTTCGTCAGGCTGGTCACCGGAGGGAAGCAACTAGAGGAGGACAGATCGGTTAGAGTGGATCCAGGAAACTTGCTGTTTAACGGCGGTCTGGGTTAATACCTGCTCAGGGGGTATTCTGACCGTTAGGGGGGGAACCTTGAGGGTCCAGAGGCTGATCGGCAGGCAGAGGGCTGAGGGCAGAGGCGGAGACGGAGGCTGAGGGCAGACAGGCAGGTTCCAGGCAGTGAGAGTTTTCTCCAGGAGTTGACTGATCACCAGATATGTCCAGATCTGAGAGGCAGAAGAAGGTTCTCAAAAAACCAGGAAAACAGATCAGATTAACTGGCTCAAGGTTTGCTGGTACCATTACTGGCAAACACTCTGGCAGAGAAGTGTCAGCCTCCTCCTCCTTAAAAAGCCTCCAGATGAGCAGATGGGAAACAGGTGTGCAGAAGTCAGCTCACACCCTCAGGAGGAAGATCTCAGGCTCCCTCTGGTGGAGAAAGGTTGACAAGCCTCCAGATCCCAACATCCTCCTTTATTTAAAATTCAGGTGCAACTAACTGGACTGCAAAGCCACATGTTTTCTGAGGTTTGCCTGTTTGCTATTTGACCTGAAACCTGTGTATTTTTGTTTTTGGGTATTGGAAAAGCAAAGTTAGGTTGTAAAAAACCCCGGTGTTAAAACATGTTTTGATATACTGTTTAATCATCAATCCCAGAAATCTGAATAATGCAAAATTCCTCAGCGTAGATGAAAAAAATATCTGTGCATTGGATAACTATGGCAGATTGTGCAATATATTGGAGTCATACAGTACTAGCCTCTTAAAACTTCCCCATTTTCTTTAATGGGTCCTTGGCTGGTCCCCTTCAATTCCTTTTTAAACATCAATATTTGTACTAAAATATTCTTACTGTCATGATTTGTCGACATTAAGATCTAAAGAAAGTGTCATCTCCTGGTCAGATCCTGTAATTCAGTGAAAGGGTGGAGTCAGAGTAAAAAAGTATGCAATAGGGGGTAACTCCAGTGGCTGGAAGTTTTCACCAGAAGATGGAGGGAAGTGGGCTGCTATTCAGCTGTCGTTTAACTTGGAAGGTCCATTTTGAATGGCTGCTGCTGTACGCTGGGGAGGATTCTCAGTCATCCAGGTCATAGTTATTCCAAAAAAAGAAAATTAAAAACAATGCACTGGACTTTGTTTCCAAGTTTAAAGATGGAATGGCTTCTACTGCACATTTCCCAGACATTTTCAGGCTTTTACAGAGTTGCAAAAAGAGTAAACTTTGTTCCATTCTTTTTGCAAGCAAAAAACATGTTTTATGGATGGAAATTATAAAAAATAAAATAAAAAAAAGTTTAAATTGAATTTTAAAGAAATTAAACCAGAAAAAAAGAATTTACCTCTGTTTAGTCCAATCTTAGTCCATTTTGCACAATCTAATTCACCGTGCAGATTAGACACACCTAGTGCAGGGAGGATTCCACAACTCCCACCTGTGTTTTCATTAGATGAAAAAGACCTGTCTTTGACTGGCCGGCAGGTGTGGACCAATAACATATAGTTAAACAAGTCATTGAAGCCGAGGGAGTGCAGAAACTTAGTGGATTGAGGGCAAAAAATGAATTTAATGAATGCACAACTGGTGTAGCAGAGTTTATTAAAGACACATTCTGAGTGAGCGGATATAAGATTGAACATTGTGCACTGGTCCCACTGCACACTTATGATGGTAGCCCAAAATACCACACAACAGGGCTTTTATTACTCTTCATTTGAATCTGTCTCATACATGGTCACACCTGCCTTCCAACGAAACTTCATTCCAGCTCCACCACTTCCACCTCCTTTCACTCAATCTAGCTCCCTTCCTTCTCCTTCTTCCATTCCACCACCAGGCCTTCTTATCATCATCAACATCATCATCATCATCATCATCATCATCATCATCATCATCCACATGAGATCATCATCATCAGCGCGGTTTTACCTCTTGTGCCTGGTGGGGGTTTGAGCACCAAATATTTATATTCATTCATTTCCACATACTCTTTAACTGCTTTCTTTGGTCGGCATGAGACTGGACTCACTGGTGACGGTGGCAGAGAGTAGGACACTGGACAAATTGCTGGACATTATTGACAATGTCAGTCATCCCCTGCACACCGTCATCAGCAACCAGAGGAGCCTGTTCAGTTGAAGGCTGCTCCTTCCCAAATGTAGGACCAACAGACTCAGGAACTCCTTTGTCCCTCATGCCATCAGGCTCTATAACTCCTCTCTGGGGGGGAGCAGGAAATAGAGTTAAGAGAACAGAAGTGAAGGAGTTGTTGGACACTCTCTTTCCTCAACCATCCAAGTGCAATACACTACATAACTGTTAATTTAAGTCATTGCTTTGCTATAGCCCTCTGTATTTATTTGTCTATCCTCATCCCCCAATATATCTTCCTACATCTTATTTAATTGATTTTATTTTTCTATTGTATATACTGTGCCTAAACATCCTCTATTTTCTTGTATGTGCAATTTTGTTTCCTGCTACTGGAAATACAATTTCCCGAAGGGAGTAATCCCAAGGGATTAATAAAGTCAAGTCTAAGTCTAAGTCTCTAAGTCTTATCTCCTTGCGAGTCTCTCCAGGTTGGATTGCTGCTTAGATGGGTTCTTTTTTATTTAAGATTAACTGGTACTGTAGCTAAAAGGAGGATAAATGAGCAGGTTAAAAGAGGAAAACTTAAGTCCAGAGTTTCAATAAAAAGGTTTAGATCAAACAGAGTTAATGGGCCAGAACGGTCCAGTTAAAGTCCAGTTGCTTTGTGACAAAAACGTAGAAAGGTCTCCAGCTGTATCAATACCTGGGGAGTGGTGGACTAGTGGTTGGGGCATAGAGCTTGGAATCCCGAGGTTTTGAATTCGAGCCCCACTCCCACAGACTGCAACTGTGGCTCTCTGAGCATGACCCTTAACCCCACACTGCTCCCGGGGAGCCGCACAATGGCAGCCCACTGCTCCCCAAGCGGATGGGTTAAATGCAGAGGTAGAATTTCTCCAATGTGAGATCAATAATGTTAAATTTTTATTACTTTTTCCAGGTTTTAAACTAATTAAATCAAAATTTGTCTGCCTTGCTCATTTTTTTCTTGTCTTTCTTGTTTCATCTCAGGCTACGGGCATGCAGCTCCTGGGACTGACGCGGGAAAGGCCTTCTGCATGTTTTACGCTGTCCTTGGAATCCCTTTGACTCTCGTCATGTTCCAGAGCCTTGGCGAGAGGATGAACACATTCGTCAAGTACCTCCTCAAACGCATCAAGAAATGCTGTGGGATGCGCATCACAGACGTGTCCATGGAGAACATGGTGACCGTAGGATTTTTCTCCTGCATCGGCACGCTCTGCATTGGAGCCGCTGCTTTCTCTCATTATGAGGACTGGAGCTTCTTTCAGTCCTACTATTACTGCTTCATTACATTAACAACAATAGGCTTTGGGGACTTTGTGGCCCTTCAAAAGAACCGGGCCCTACAGAAGAAGCCCCTGTACGTGGCCTTTAGTTTCATGTATATCCTTGTGGGCCTGACAGTCATCGGAGCCTTCCTGAACCTGGTCGTGCTCCGTTTTCTGACTATGAACAGCGAGGACGAGCGGCGGGATGCAGAGGAACGTGCGTCCCTCGCAGGGAATCGCAACAGCATGATTATTCACATCCAGGACGAATCGCTGCAGCGGAGCCGGCGACGACGAGAGCCATACAGGACGGAGGTGACCGACCTGCAGTCGGTGTGCCCGTGCATGCACTACCGCTCGCACGACTACGGCAGCTCCGGCGGCGGGATCGGAGGCCTGGGCTGTGCCTTTTCCCATCAGAACTCGTTCAGCTCGCAGCTAAACCGCAATCAGTACTTTCACTCGGTTTCCTACAGGATTGAGGAGATCTCGCCCAGCACGTTGAAGAACAGCCTCCTCCCTTCGCCCATCAGTTCAGTTTCTCCTGGCCTTCACAGCCTCACAGACAATCACCAGCTCATGAGGAGAAGGAAATCTATCTAAAGCTCCGCACTCACAGGACCAGTGAGTTTTTATGTTTTATACACACTAGGTCAAACATTTTCAATGCTGCTCTTCACCAGATTTTCATTTTAGCACTTTTTTCCCTTCCTGGTTTGGTAATATGAAATAAACGTTTTGCTGGGAACAGATAAAGACGATTGGGCTGAACAGGAAGAGTTGGACCCAAGAGGATGCAAAGCATGAAGCATGGATGTCTATTTTTTCAAGAATTGATTTAAAGAGACTCTACGTGAACAATAAAACTTGACTTATTACAGATTTACATTATAAAATGAATACATGAACTTTGGTTACGTATAAAACGATGCACACTGGGGAAATGCTATTTTTCAAAGGGAGTTTGCTTGTTTCACTCTAACTTGAAGAGATATTTGTCATGACGTATTATCCCATTGCCTCGCTGCAGACAGAGATTTCAAAAATGTTCTAAAGCATCAGGTATTATTTTCAATAAGCAATCATTTACTTTAATGGTTTCAACTCATATTAAGCCAAAATATTGTTGCCAATATTAGCATGTGACTTAGATGTCATTTACTTGTAGGCCATGTTTTTCTTTTTTTTTTTGTTGATTTTTGTTTTTTATGGTTGGTAAAGTGTCTTTTGTGTATAAATCAAAGGATCATACTGCTGTTATTGATACTTCCTGCTGATCTAAAAAGCATCGGATTGGGTTTGGATAGCTTTAAATTCACTTGCAGCCTTTTCAACTCAACAGTGACCTAAAAGGAAAGTCAACCACAGCACTATGCCAGTTTCTAGCTCTAGGGTCTTCCCATCCAAGCAATTGATTTTGTAACATTATGTTCAGAATGTGTTGATGAATATTTATTATCATATGAACAATACGGAAATGCAGTTAGGATATGGTACAACATTTATTGGGCATTTTTGTTTTGTAAATTTGGAAAAAACTAAATAGGACCTTGGTTGCACGCTACAGTATTCAGCACCATTGAACTCCTTGGTTCAGATCGTGGCACGTGCCTTTTAATCAGGAGTTCCTCACCATGCATGCATAAGTCGGCATGATGCACACTTCTTTCCTGCCACAGTCCAGAAAGGTGCATGTCAGTTGAGTTTGCATCGTTAATCTGCCCTTAGGTGTGAATAGCTGTTAATTGTGAGTGGTGGTCATGTGACATACAGCTGATGGACTTGCTCCCAGATGGCAGTATACCTTTAAGGCTGATTTATACTCCAGGTCGTCTGCATGTGTGTCGCAGTGAATGCAAATGTGTCCCTGCCACTTCTGTAAACACTCTGCATCACCTCTCCAAAATCGTAGGTGACCGCAGACAGTGGGCCTCTTATTGGTCTAATCAACGTCCGCTCTACACTATGCGTATTTCCTGTTTGGTACCTTACCGGCTTGTTTTGTCTGTATGACCGTCATTGCGGAAAAAGACTCATGAAGTAGGACCAGCTAGAAGAGCGCGCGAGAACACTGGTACCTTTTTCCCACCTGGATCCCCGCTCTTTTTCGCCATCCATTTGTCGCAAAAACTTGCCCCCACTTCCTCACCGCCTTGGCATTATCTAGACCCACAGCTAGTTCGTGATTGACCCTCTTGGGTTGTGGCATGTAATAAAATAGGCCAGACCACGCTTCAATATTGGGCATAAATCAAAAATATCTGTGACAAGCTCACTGCGACACACTGCGCTCACTGCCAAGACTGCTATTTTCCCCCTTGGATTGAATGAGGAACCTTAGTGAGTTTCTCACCATAAAGTTGGATTATGGGTTTAATCAAGCAAACTGGCTACATTTTCAGACACCAATTAAAAGCCACAATTCACTCAAAGTGATTTTGTTCTTTCATCAATTCCTACATTTATATTGTATCAGTGTGTTACCATCTTTTTCTTTCCTCCACCATTTCCAATCGCTGCACCTAGCATTACTAATGTTTTCACCTTCTTGTGTACTTGTGTTCCTTTTGGGTTGGATGGATTTTGCAGACAACTATTCAGGAACATGGAAAACAAAAATCCAAAATTAGATCCATATTGCTGCTTTTATCCTGACTGGAGAAGCATTAATCTAACAAAATGGTCAGTGTATCTTTTAGTTGCTTGGTTTTTATATTTGAAAACAACAAAACGTGTGGATTTTATTTTCAATGTACAACAATTAGAGTTGAAATACAGTGTTTCTCTTTTCTTTGCTTCAAAAAAGGATGAGCTAATTTTTTGGAAACTATTTAAGTTTCGTTTTCTAATTTGATTAACAAAAAAAAAAATTTTTAAACAGGAAAAAAAATCTTTTTTATTTTCTAAGATCGGATGGGGTCTCTTATTTCACAAGAGCACTACAAATATCACAAGTAAGTCCAGGAAGAAGAGGATTTTTGCATGAACACCAGAAAAAAGTGCTCTGTGGATTACTGGGTCAAACTCCTTGCCCTAAATCTGTCGTATGTGGTGTTTTTGGGCAAGACATGTCCCTGCCTTGCCTACTTTTGATTGGGACGGGTAGCAGCCTGCTTTCTCTCAGTGCGCCCCAGTGCAGCTGTGGCTACAATGTATCTCACCACCATTGGCGTAACTTTTAACATCAGCACTAATTTTCTGTTGATAAATCTAAAGCAACAATGGGCCCTGGTAAATGTGGGGCTCTTATAAACTGACAACATCCGATCCAGAAAAACAACAAACTGATCTTTATTCGGTTCTGTTTTTGAAGTAATTTCAAATTTTGTTAAATAATCAGAAAACAAAAACGTTTTGTTTTTTTGTCATCCCTCTTTTACAAAGAAGTATTTTCATTTTAGGTTTTATATTTTAAAACAAAAAAAAATTAACATGACCACTTGTCATTGGTACTTTCTGTTTTGTTGAAAGAAAATCAAATAACCAGAAGATAAACTGACCCATAACCACAGAAGCATAACTAAAGAATATTAAACACAAACTATTCTGGAGTTGAAAAAAGATAATCAGTTAATTTATTTGTATGAAGTTCCTCCTGAATATGTTTGTCTTTATGGAAAAATGCCTTTCTAAACTGGCTTATTATGAATTCTTTGGTCAATATGTGAATTCAGAACCTTGCTAACGCTAGCTAAAATAGCGCTACCTATTTTAGCTAGCCAGTTAAGGCCAAACAAGTCATATATGTAAAACTCAAGGTATAAACTGGCTAAAGTTGCTAAATGATTAGGAGTAAAGTTATAAAGCCTTATCAGTTTATAAAGAAAATTTTGAAAATCAAAAGTATTAATACAGCTAACCTTTTAAACACTTGATAATGTGGATTGAAAAATGTCTTTTTGAGTGTCAAAACCAAAACACCAGCTGAAATCTTATAAAGGACCATCTTATCTTTCTTATTCCAATAAGTCAAATAGGCTGGTTATTTTCTTCTTTTCTTCTTCTTATGTTTAAAGTGCCTATGGTGAATTGCTCCGCTTCAAAACAAACATTAAGTGAAATTCAAAATTGTTTGCTAATCAGCAGCATTAATTCTTCATTTAAGTGAAATAAAAAAAAACGGAAGTTAATTTATTTGTCTAAGTTAAATTAAATGGGAATGAAGACTGACTAGATGTATTGGGAATGTTTACATGTCTGATAGACTTGGACCTTTTGTCTCGTCTGAGTCAGCCTGTCAAATCTACTAAACTCACAAAGTTTTGCAATCCAATTTTACCTTTCAAAGTACATTCATTTTCTGTGTTCCCATTCAATTGTAAAGCAAATCTCAAAAGCTTTCACTATCCTTTAATGTTGATTAACTTCATATAGGATAAAAAAGGAAGAGCAGTCACAAGGAAGAGAGAGAGCCACTTAGCAGAATGTCATTTTTTAGAACTGAGGAGCCAGTGGTGTTTTACATTTCTGAATCACACTTTTCCTATGTTTATGAAGGACTGCAGATAGAAGTGAAGTATAGGGAAATTTAAGATTTACTAAATTCAAACCTCTCACTTTGAATGGTTTACAATCATTCATTTTAGAATACAGTAATCTCTCACACATAGCATTTATGCAGCAATAGTGAAGAGGAAGAAATCCCTTTTAAGGATTCATTTGAGCCATATTTTTTTAGAATGCTGGTCACCATAGCATGTTTGTGTAAGGGTAGAAATATTCCGTGTTGGAAAACATAGGCATTATGAAAATAAGCCAATATTAAGGCCTAAAATGTATTGTTTACAGTATAGAGAGAGCCCACCTTATTCCAGACAGAAACAGGAATTTGTTAAATTATCATCAGCGTAGTGCTTTACTTTCAGACTAATTGTTTTTTACTAGTTTGGGGCTTTATTTTTTTAAAAGAAGAGCAAAACCGGGTTGAGGACATTTTATTTTGTTGCAGTTTTTTTTATAAATCATAAATCAACAAAGAAGCCTTCACTTTTCTTTGCTTAAATACCTACTGCCAGGTTGTAATAAAATCCCAGGGTTGTTTTAAGTGAACTTGTTTTCTCCAACACATCCGAACTGGAAGCATATTCAGTCGATTTCTTAACAGTTGGGTTCGGAAATGCCATTTCAGAGGCTTAAACCTCTTCAGAGGTTTTATCATCAAGTAGGGATAAAGGTTTATTTTAGTTTTCGTTTTTCTTGTCATCTCAAGGTCCTTTGCAACGACAATTCAAACAGATTATCCACTCAGATTGGTTCCAAGTTTCTATCCAAGGAAAACCGGCTGTTTTGATCCAGTCATTGGTTTTGAAGGTTTCCCTCCTCCTGGATGAACATGTAGAAACAGTCGATATTCAATTAGCTGGTGTCATTGCAATCGACTCTACAACAATTCCTTAAACCCAGCATGCATGCAGCGAATGTGGAGATGAAAACTACCTTTTAACAGTAAGAAACATGAGCTTTTAGAATCTAAAATATCTTCGCACGATTATCCAGAAGGTCTGATAACTTACTGAATTTGCTTAAGAACATGGACCAAGTTCAAAATGCTGATCGACTTAAGGTAAATATATACCTATTCAGATTAGAATAGCGGCTATAATTGTAGTCAGGACTCTTCTTAAACTTTGCTGATAACCACAATAAATGTGCATCCGAAGTACAGCTTGTTGAGGGGTATCTATTCAAAATGTGTTGTCAGTTTGTTTACACCTTTGAGCCTGAATTGATATTTTTGAGCCTTTGGAAATTGAATAAATTGCAAAATATGTGAAAACTTCTGCACCGTTTTATGTGTTATGATCAGTCCCCTCTGAGAGAAGCAAAGGTAAATTATTGCTTATTGTTGTTTAGACAAAACAGTAATAGATTCGATTTAGTTTATACTGTAAGTTAAACTTGGCAGAAGGCCACTCACATTGAGCCTGGTTCTGTAGAAGCAGTTTTATTGTCTTATATTAGAATCAGAAATCAGAATATATCCTACAACATGGCCCTACACTTACTTAGCAACCAAATTTAAAGGTCAGTTTTGAGTCTTAGTAACACCATGGTCTCCAAGGCTGCATGAGGGGGTTTGGCAAAAACAGAAAACGTCTGTGTAAACACCTCTTGAGGGTCGCAGTGACTTTGACGCAAATCAGCACACGTGAATTCCAGTAAGATGTCGACACAATATTCCTGTGCATGTGCAGTTACGTAATGCGATGTCGAAACCATAAAAGGCCGCCCAGAATGGATTAAAGGTGGGGGAATTAACTGAGACGAGACGATGCATTGCGGAATGTATGAAGTTTTAAGACAGCTGTATGAATTCGGTTTTGTAAATAAATGTCCCCCCCTCCGGGTGACAGAATGATGTCAATCGTCAGCCTTCTTTCTGTCATAAGAGAATTCTACCAATGAGCTTCCACAGTTCTACTGGAGTTTTCTTCCCGTTAAAAGAGAGTTGTTCCTCTCCACTGTTGTTAAATGCATGCCTGGTATAAGGAATTGTTGTAGAGTCATCAACACAATGCAATGGAATGTCTCCTGTTGTTAAATGCTTGACCTGCAAAGTAAATGGCAGGATGCAATCAGCTGGGTTTCATAAAGTAGAAAACTTTTAACCAATTGAATAGTATCTGTAATCAAATGGGAAAAATAAACTAAAGTGAATCTTAATGCATAAGAGGAAGAACCTTTGGGCTACATGTTGTTTACAATGGAAATTTATAGCGCTGATGAAATAATTTTTCAAACCTTCGGCGAAAACCTTGTAGCTTCATTAACATTTTCTTCATTTCAAAATTCAATATTTTTTATATTTTAACTTTATAAATCTTTCAGTCCATTTTCAAGCTGTTACCTGGACATATTCAGTAAATATTTCCTGTTTCTTTTTTCACTAAAGGATGGAACAACTGTTAAAATCTCAAAAATGCAGAACATCAACAGCCAGGATTCTGATCCATAAAAGCCAAATAAAGTGAATCAATGGAAACACAAATGATGCCCTAAATACTCTTTGTTTCTTAATAATGTACAGACCTGGGCAATAAATTAGGCTTATTTATAACCATTTTTATTTATTTAATGAGTGGAATTTAATATTTGTCAAATTGGCCTATTTTAGTCAGTTGATCCCCCCCTTAATTGATTTTAAACTAAATTTAAGAAGACACCACTTTTCAATGAGGTAAAAAGGCAAGAATAAACACTGGATTTTTGTTTTCTCTCCCAAAGGGCAATTAAATTAGTCCAGCAGTATGCTTAAATCATAAAAATTATTATCAAAGTTCTCCACATTAAGTAAAATGACTCCTGAAGAGCTAAACCGCTTTCAGCTCCTCGGATCTAAAAGCACAGAAAGCTGGGCTGTTGATGGTGATGGGGAAGTGTGCAGATCCAAACTGACAACTCCTTAGGTCTGAATGCACTTTGGAGGGATGAA